AGAGCTGGATGAACACAGCAGACCCAGCAGCAACAGAGGAGCAGGAAGGCTGACATTTCGGGCCTAGACCCTCCATTTCTGAAGAAGGGTCTAGGCCCGAAACGTCAGCCTTCCTGCTGCTCTGATGCTGCTGGGCCTGCTGTGTTCATCCAGCTCTACACCTTGTTATCTCTTGGTTAAGTAGTGCTATGGATGATGAATTCCTGCAGTGCGTACAAAACAGGTTTCTGAAGCAGTGTGTTAAGGACCCAGCTAGGAAATGGAGTATTGTGGATTTAGTGTAAGGTATTTTTAATCAATCTCTTCATATATCAGTAAACCGTCTGTCAGTACAGAGTTTGCACATTCACCCCAATCTGCATGGGTTTTCTCCCAGTGCTCCAGTTTCCTCCCACAGTCCAAGGAAGGGCAGGTTAGGTGGATTGGCCAGACTAAATTGCCCGTAGAGTCCAGGGATGTGCAGGCTGGGTGGGTTAGCAATGGGGAAAGCAGGGTTACAGAATGGAGTAGGGAGGTGGGTCTGGGTGAGACGCTGCTTGGATGGTTGGTGCGGACCTGATGAGCTGAATGGCCTGCTTCCACAATGTAGGGATTCTATATGCTGCTAGCGCATGGTGCAGGTGAGAGATTGACATAACATGCACTATCCAGCAACACAACCACTTCCTTGACTTATCATTGCTGACAACTGTGTCAGTCTGTCTAGCTTTGTCTCTGTCCACTCTGCATGTATTTCACATCCAGGGATACAGATAACTTAGAACATAGAACAGTACAGCACAGGAATGGGCCCTTCGGCCCACAATATTGTGACGAACATGATGTCAATTCAAACTAATTCCTTCTGCCTGTTCTTAATCCATATCCCTCCATTCCTGGCATATTCACGTGCTTATCTAAAAGTGTCTTAAAAGCCCCTAATATATTTGCTTCTACCACCACCCCTGGCAGCATATTTTAGACTCCTACCACTCTGTGTTTAAAAAAAACTTGCCCCCCCTCACCTTATGCATGCCCCATAGTTTTTAGACATTTCAACTCTGGGAAAAAGTTTCTGTCAACCCTAGCCATGCATCCCATAATTTTATAGACTTCTATCAAGTCTCCCCTCAGCCTCCACTGAAAACAACGTGAGTTTTTCTAGCCTCTCTTTATAGCTCATACCCTCTAATCCAGGCAACATCCTGGTAGACCTCTTTTGCACCCTCTGCAAAGCAAACTTCAATCTCTTTGTGAAAGTGTGATGAATGATAAATCCAATTGCATCTTAAGGGTCTTGCATGGCTCATGTTTAGCTCACATGCTATGAACAAGGGGATAAAGAGCAAAAATGCAAGGCAAGGCAGAGATGCTGAGAATGTCCAAGTAGGTGCACGGTGAATGAGTGCTAAGAGTGCAAGTGAGAAGTCCTGAGATGCAGCCCGGTCAAACCCATGAGCTGGTGCCTGTCCTTGTGCTCATTGTTCTAGCAGCAGCATTACAATGAAAGTTGCTAGTGTATTTCAAAGAGCAGAACTGTGTACTTTGGAGATATGGCATGAAGGTGCAGTGGTGTTACAGATCCAGCACAAACCTCTGAATATGTTCAAGTGTAGACAGTCACTGCCCATACAGCGTACCCCAAGATGCTGGGAACTGCTGTCTGGAGCATCATGCAGCGTGTCTAGTTTCTATACAGCGGATGAGAGAATAGGAAATTACATACAGGCAATATTAGATAATGATAGTATGCTAATAGACAAAAATGGAATGCAAACAGGTCACTTGTCACTCTAGCAAAGTTCTCATCTCACTGTTCAAAACTTGGTTGGAGAATCTGTTTTCTGCTGATCTTGTCAGTTTCCCCAAATGAGTCATCAATGTCCATATCACTCAAGGGCTAGGAAGAATCCACTCATGGTGACTACGGTTGTGGGAAAAATCCAAGGTTTATTTTAGAAAGGTGGAGGATACAATTGAAGGCAAGAGGTGTATTAGGAAACTGCTTTTGATCTGATCTTGGAGGCTAATGAGAAAGATTCAATCTTCCTTGATTATATATAGAGTGGTCTTTCTTGTGGTTACCATTGATTGGACATCTCTATCTCAATGTGTCACATTTGCTTTGGAAGTCTTCTATTTTCATTTAAAAAATTCTTTTCACAGCCTCAGGTCCCTCCCCAATCCCCAAGCCCATTCAGTGTTTTTGATGTGTTATTATTAGTGGAATATAGAAAGGCAGCCACTTTATGTATTGCAAGAGCTTGCAGTGTGCAATTACCAGATAAACTAGATTTACTGACGTCAGGATTAATATTGCCTTTGCTTTCCACATTCCAACTGGGTCAGAATGTTCTCAATGTCCACTTTTAATATTGCTGTTGCTTTGTGTGTGCAAATAATATCTTATTGTTGTGTAACAAAGTCCAAATTTGGCCCCGATTTTGTCATGTTGCCCATTTATTCTTTTCAAAAGTGTGGTTAAACCAAGGCCTCCATTAATCCTCTTTTAGTCATAACAGAAAACAGGAGCAGGATAGGTCATTCGGCCTATCAATCATGCTCTGCAATTCACTATGATCATGGCTGACTGTCCCATTCAGTATCCCTTTCCCACTTTCTCCCTATACTCTTTGATCCTATTAGCCCCAAGAACTGAATACAACTCCTTTTTGAAAACCAATGTTTGGGTCTCAACCACATTCTACGGCACAGAATCCCATTGGATCTCCATTCTTTGTGAAGAAATTTCTTCTTTTCTCAGTCCTGAATGGCTTACCCAATATCCTTAGACTGTGACCCCTGCTTTTGGACTGCCCAGTCGTCAGGAACATCCTTCCTGTATTTACCCTGTCTAGTCCTGGTTGAATTTTATAGACTTCCATGCGATTCACCACCTTGCATCTCCCAAAAAACAGGTATTCTAAACTACAGTGGATGTAGTTCTAAGTGATCCAATCTCTTTTCATTAGTCAGTCCTGTGATCCCAGGAATTAGTCTGGGAAACCTCAATATTCATCACCAAACCTCACTAAAGAGGGATTAACACCCAATTTGATAACTGTCTGTGGAATCTTATTGTGCTCAAATTGGCTGCTCAATTTTGTCACATCAGCACTGACTTCAACTGTTGACTTAAGCATTTTGACACTTCTGAGATTGTAAAGACATAATGGAAATTTGAGTTTTTAAACTAACCATCGACAAAACCAGCAGGCTACTTGCCTGGGACAGTGGTGGGGTGATGGATGGAGGGCAAGACAGGAGGAGCGACAGCAGAACATAATTCCGATTCCACCTTACATACATTTTCCTGCAGGATTGGCAGGAAGTGATCAAGGACAAGACTATTGTCGTCATCCTCCTGAACACAAGTGCAGAGGTCAGTCATTACACAGCATGCTGCAATTCCAGGAATCAAACTGGGGGCTTTCCATCAGATTAAGAAAACAGTGAATAATTCATTTTGAATTCAGTTTAATCCAAGGGTAGCTGGGTAATTAATTGCTGAACAACAACATTTTCTGCAAAGAGTATGGACCATAAGATTACGGTTTATTTTTGAAAAAGCATTGTAACCACTATGAGCTGATTGTTATATAGATCCC